TATGTACAATATTTACAAGTGGCTCTAATGCCGAGCAAAGCGCAGAGACGAGTGCCGAAGCGGTACGGCGTGATTCTTGTCGGACGAGTCAGTTCGATCGATACGGCGGTGAGACCCGGCGGTCGGGACTCGGCGGGGTCGCGGAATCGCAGGTCTCTTCGGTGGGCGCACAGAGTCAGCGGAGTCCTAGGTGCAGCTGGGTCTTTGCCTCCCGGGCGCCCCGGTTCGGCGAGAGCGGAGAAGTCGGGCGCCGCAACTCTCTTCAGAAGGCATAAGCGTGGTCTGTACTAGAGTGGACTCAGGACCGGACTGGATGCCGCTTGCTCTGCAGCTACGGTTTGTATACCCCCGCCAATAGGCTTCGGCGAGGGAAGCGCGGAGAGGGGAATGCCCACGAGTATCACGCTCGGGGCGCGTGGTCGTAGTAAAGATTGTGGCGCTAAGCACCACCAGGGGCAGTTGGTCGGCCCCGAGTCTAGTGACGAAGCGGGGGACGCATCGTCACAAGTTTAACAATAGCCTGATCTATGGTTTCCCATATGGTGTACATATGCGGATTCTATTGTGAAATCTTCACGGAATTCTTATAGAAAATATCTATAGAAGTCCGCGTAGACCCTTTTTACAAAGGCTAAAAATTGCTCGCAACTTAAATTATGCTACGCAAGTATATATTTATTAAGAAATTATATTATAGGGGTGAATCTAGCCAAATAAAGATTATATAGTTCATAATGCTTAAGACACTGAGGTAGTACAATAGTGCTGTATTTAACAGGAACAAAATATAGAAAAGAGTATGAATAATTAGATTAAAGTGATTATAAGATGCAATCATCAGTTTTTATGTCAAAGAAACATTTATGTCGAATGAAATTTAATGTATTTATATGTCCTTTTACTCTTACAATATAATATATCTTATTATTTGAATATTAAACGTTAATATACATAAAGTTTCTTTTATTTGAATCTAAACAAATGTACTTTTAAAGCGTTATGCATGAAAAATAATATTTGACTCAGGGTACACGCAAAAAAATGATTAGCCAATGAAGCTAAAATATAGCTGTGGCAGCTAAGATGTGTACTTAAAATAGGGACAGCTAATATCGTTGTTGCCGAACTTAAATTTATTAGTTATTAAAATGTAGGTGCTGCAGCAAAAAATATTTGCTGCTAAAATCAAATGATATTTAGCTGAATCTATTATGCTATTTATCTTCGCAATAGAGATAAATAAATTTGCTGTAAGGCTAAGAAATTTTAGCTGTAGTAATGAATACTTTGATGCTAGTGCTAAATGATTTTAATCACCTTAGCTATCAAAATTAATATAAGAGCAGTTCTATATAATAGCTATATACACTCACGAAACAAATTATCCGGACAATGCGCTAATATATCGGTGATTTCTTCAAACTATTGTTCAAGTGTTATTTATATTACTAAAACAACACAAGGCGCGTGCTTCGCGCGCGCCATTTACAATGTGTAATTTAATATTTTATATTTTTATAATATATCTAGCTCTTTCTTTTTCTCTCTAATATTTTTAACATTTCAAATTCAATATTGTTAATAGTAATGTTAAAAACTATTTTTATTAAAAAATTTAAAAAGTAAGAAATCACACATATATGTCACATATAATATAATATAATAACACACGCACGCACGCACGC